GTGTGTAATGTTGGTGATTACCGCTGAGGTGCCATTGAGACCAGAGCCGTTAGATAATCATCAATACACACAAGATTCATCATACGACGGTTTTTAACACACTTGTTAAGAAAATAATACTAAAAATCATTTTATAGTATATAAAAAGTTTATTTGGAGAAACAAATTGTAAATGTGCAGTTAGTAAAATTAGTGATAGGTACTTCACTAAAAGCATCTGGCCATGGTTCTCTATGTGACCATTTCTTTCTTAGGTCGGCCTTGCCTGTTTCCCCAGGAGTTTCAAACTTTCCATCATTCTTAAAACCTTCGTTGACTATCCGACTCTCTGATTTTCCTGAAAAAAAAAGTAAAAAAATATGTAACGGAATAGAAACAATAACTTATTGACATGAAGCAATTAATTCAAAATTGGTAGAAAACCTGACCGAGTTGAACCATAATAACGTATGAAAAGAAATGGTCGCACTACAATATTACCTATTTACAATGTCAATCTAACCTAAAAATGTGCAATGTAAACAATGCCGTTTTTGGTCTCAAAATCGTAAATTAAGTAAATTTGTAACCAGGCAGATTACAAACAAATAGTTTCACGATTACATACCCGTCATGGATGCTGTTCACCCAAAAACATCATCCAAATCCCACAAAATTTGTCCAGCTTGGTAGTCTACGAAACATCGCTGGAAAACTTTAAAAATCACTTCCCGTGTGCCACTCCGATTTACTTTACTCATTTTTATACCTTTCTGCGTAGTTTCGTCTTAATTTATTACAGTTTAATCCAAACAATAAAAAATACAAAAAGAAAACTGTTCCACAACTGAAACTCGATGACAGCTGATGTACATAAGTTTGGTGTTGCCAGACACATGAATAATGTTAGTTCCTCAAACATTCATGGCACGACTTTATAGACAAACTATAATTCACATGACAATTCCAAAAAAAAAATTGGATTTTTGAAGTTATACTTCTTTAGCCGCGTTATGAAAAAATTATGAGAGTGAAATTTTAAGATGCGCGCGCATCACTGTAACACAAAAGTAACATAATGAAGTTAGCCGCGGGCGCGTTATGAAAAAATGATGGGAGTGAAATTTTAAGATGCGCGCGCATCACTGTAACAGAAAAGTAACATGAAGTCGGCCGCTAAACCGCACATTACTCGTAAGTCTCGAAAAAAAGCTTCCAAGAAAATAGTAATAGGATCTATTAGTCGCACATGTTGGGACGCTCGTCGCCTCTGATCACTGTTTTCATATTTATAATATTTATCCACATGTTTCTAGTTTCTATATTCTTAACACGTGTTATAATGTTATACAAATGCGAAATTTATATGTGCTAATAAATTTTATTCAGTAGTGATTTAAAATGATTATTTTGATTATTTATTAAATTTTTCAAATTAAAACTGAACTTTATTGACTGCGTACTTAATATATTCATATCACATATTAAAAAGTCTATTGAAGCGCTTTGACTGGTTCTTTTTATATTTCGGGTTGTAATTTAAGTAGGTAAATAAAAAAATAAACAAATATAGGTATTTGAAAGTATGTATAATAAAAAGGCACTGAAAAAATAATAAATGCCATTACTAAAACATATTGTGAACTTTTTTGTTTTACTATTTTATATTTGAAATAATCGTACCCTTAATTAAAATTGTCAGTATTGTACGGTGCGACCGTACATTTTTGCAAGTCCGCAGTTAGTGTTGTAAGCATTTGAGTAAAAAAAAAGTCAATGTTTTTGAACGTATTCAAACGAACGATATGGTAAATTACGCGACTAAAGTCCTCTACGCACTATCAATCTTGCTGGATCCAGCATGCAGCGCTATACACGTAAAAGAGATAGAGATACAGATGGATAGTGCGTAGAGGACTTAAATGAAATGTCATGCCTCGCTCTCTCTCAGACTTACTAAGAGTGAGTGAGTAACGAGACGCGACTATCGCGACATTTAATGTGAAGTAGTACATTTTAAAATTCTGAGCCGCTGTTACATTTTGCCGTCATGTCCGGGACAAATGTACCGCCTCTTGTAAGTCCTACTCAACACTAGTCCAGGTTATGGGTGGAGAGTAATAAATCAAAAGCCTTAAAACTAAATTTAACATCAGTCTCTCCTTTTCATTCTGTATAGAGAATGACAAAGATATACTGCTGTCAAATTTAAGTTTAGGTTTAGAGAATCATGCTAGAATCGACACCACTATCGCTCATTACAACCAACTTTACTTACTAAACCTTGGTTTTCCAAATTAAGGTTTAGTAAATCGGTTACTACAATTTTAATTCGAATGCGCTTCGGACATGTTTGTCCTCCTGATCTTTTGGTAAAATACGGCATAATAGATACGTCCACATGTGAATTTATAAAAGTTTATCAGAAAAAATTATATAAAAATTTAGTTTATATTTTTACTATAGTTCCCATTATTTACCTTAATTTCCCTACCTACTCAACTGTTGTTCCATGTTGTTATTTATCGCAAATATCCCTTTTTTTTCCTGTTCATATCGTTTCCTACGTTTTCCTATCTGCAACTCCCACATATCCAAGTACCAACTATCCATATTCCGTTCCTTTAATCGATCAAGTTTAATCGATTTGTTACCCAATTACATCAAATGAAACTTGCATATCGCGAATGGCAACATTAGCCGTCATGCCATAATAAAAGAAGAAGAACTAATGCTAGCCATAAAAGGGTGCGGCCAGAGTGCACTCAGATTCAGATTCAGATTTCGAAAACAAGCGCGAGAAATAAACAGTGTAGTCGAAGGGTACGGCCAGAGTGCACTCCTGATTCAGATTCAAACTCAGAAAACAAAGCGCGAGAAAAAGCAGGCAACCTGCTTAGACTACACTGTTTATTTCTCGCGCGTGTTTTCAGAATCTGAATCTGAATCTGAGTGCACTCTGGCCGCACCCATACACACTACGAGAAATCGTTACGATTAGACTGTACCGTCCGAACCATAGAGTACATTGTTATAGTCCGAACGGTACCGATATGCGATAAATCGTAGCGTGTTTGTTAAAAAACTGCACAGTTTCCTATACGTACGCCACGTCCGATAAACTGTTACGTTCGAACTGTACTGTACAGTCTGATCGTAACTATTTCTCGTAGTGTGTATGGCTAGCATAAAGACATGAATAAAATTATTTTTTCTTCTACCTACCTACTTTTATAATAATTTGTTAATGTTAAGTTAGTGATTGACTTCTCTTTGGTTGCATTAAATAGCTAAGGTAAGCCATAATTTCACTTTTTTAATCATCTGTAAAGATATGAAAATTTATAAATATCCTCAGATTACTAATCTGATATAATAGCCAATGATATAATCAACTTAATATTATTATCACTAAACAAGCAGGTATGCGTTTCATAGAGAGCTTGTACTGAAGGACGGTAGAACAGGAAATAGAAAATCATAGTCTTTAATACCGATTTAGAATGAAGGCATATACCACTTAATTTGAAATAACAAAAAAGAGACCTATCATTTTTACTTTCCTAAGTTCTTAACAAATGAGAATTATACAAAAGGAATAAAATATTTGACTGGTTCAGAGACCCGAAATGTTTCTTGTCCTGGAAAATTCCATTAAAATATTTTAATGCCAATCTCACACTAAGTTTGATGCCTTAGTCAGTGTTGTCACTCTCACCAAATTGGGTTGGATACTTTAAATTCTATTATTCTTGCATAATCTTCAGGTCGTATCTTCTGTTTTATAATAATAATTCATTTATTTCAGACAACACAGATCCATATTTTTGTTAGTATAAGAAAATATTCTTTATCTACATTAGTAATAGGTACATCTATTTAGGTGACAACTATCTATAATAATGATGGATAGGTGTCTACTTTGCCATCAATATTCCAGCACAGGCTTTGAATATGGGTTTATCTTACTTACTAGCTATTGCAGTCAGGATGCTGTTGGTGCTTTTGAATAATGTATGTAACAGGGAAGCTACTTACGCTATCGCTTACAATTTCATTTTGTTATTTCTGACTGCTGAAGGTTTTCAAATACCGCACGCTCATTTTAATACTGTTATTACCAATGCAAAAGAAAAAAAAAGAGCGCAATGCATTTGAAAACCTCAGGTGGCTAGAAATAACAAAATGAAATTGTAAGCGATAGATTTATTTGTTTCTTAGGTATTCACGCACATCATTCATTAAATAAAACCAGTTTTTTTTTTCATAATCATAATAATCATAATCATATTTATTGCTTTTTCACGTAGTTGTACAGAGGTGTTACAAAGCGTTCATTTAGATCCTTACACGAACCCAGCTAGGGCATAGCAATGAGCTTTAAAGAGCTTAAATCTAAAGAAAATATAACTAGAAAAAATTCCACGCGGACCAGGCAGCAGACGGGACTCGAACCCGCACCCTTCGCAATCCGGGCGAATGCACTGACCAATTATGCTACCGCGGCCCTCACGGACCGCGTCGAAATTCTTTCTAGCTATTCTTAAGCTGCAAGGCAGCGCCATCTCTTCGCATTATAGGTAAACCCACAATGTCAAATGAATACTTTTACAAGTATTAAACATTTGAAAGAAGAAATAGCAATTATAGTTATATTTTTTTATTATTTTTAAAGCATGTAACTGCTTGATGTTTAAATCTAAAGAAAATATAACTAGAAAAAATTCCACGCGGACCAGGCAGCAGACGGGACTCGAACCCGCACCTATAATGCGAAGAGATGGCGCTGCCTTGCAGCTTAAGAATAGCTAGAAAGAATTTCGACGCGGTCCGTGAGGGCCGCGGTAGCATAATTGGTCAGTGCATTCGCCCGGATTGCGAAGGGTGCGGGTTCGAGTCCCGTCTGCTGCCTGGTCCGCGTGGAATTTTTTCTAGTTATATTTTCTTTAGATTTAAACATCAAGCAGTTACATGCTTTAAAAATAATAAAAAAAAAAAAAAAAAAATTTAAAGAGCTTGTTAATTTTTTTTAATAAATAAATATAATTTCAAAACTCATCAAAAATCTTACAAAATTAAAAATCATAGTCATAAAAATGCATTAAATAAATTACACATTATATTATTAAATAAATTATATCACAATAAAAATCTGAAAAACAACATTTTAATTCTTTGTCATTAAAATACTCCTGCAGTGTATAGTAGCCCTTTGAACAAAGGAGCTTTTTCAATTTGTTTTGAAATCCAGTAAGACAACTCTCATTTTTTAAAGATAATGGCAATCTGTTGTATATTTTGACACACATTGCAAAAGGGCTACTTTGGACCAATTTGAGTTTAGATATTGGTTGGGCCAATTTGCTATGGGGACGTAAGTTATGCGGGCGCGAGTAAGTAGGAAATTCTTTTAAATGATTTTTAACATAATTACACACCTCCAAAATATAAATACATGTTACCGTTAATACCTTGTACTGTATGAAATAAGGTCTGCAGCTTTCCAAGTTGTCTATATTTGCAATTATTCGAATGCACCTTTTTTGCAATGTAAATATTGATAGAACAGATGTTGAGTTTCCCCATAGAACTATGCCGTACTGAAGCCAGGCATGTGCATATCCATAGTAAGCGCTTAATGCAGTCTCTTTGTTGGTGACTTTTTTGAGCTCGTTTATGGCATAAGTAAATCTGGACAATTTTAAGCTAAGTTTTGACAGATGGTCCTTCCAAGTTAAATGTGTATCGAATTCAATACTTAGAAGAGGATATTTTTTTACGCTTTCTAGATTATGACCGCTAAAAGAAAAAAATATATTTAAAGGTTGCTTTTGATAAGGTTTGAATTGCATTAATTTTGTTTTTGTAAAGTTAATTTTTAAGTTGTGATCGTTAAGCCAGTTTATTATATCAGAAATCGTCTTTTCCAAGTGATAATTTAGTTCTTCTGTATTGTGGCATGGAAAAATGACTGAGATGTCATCCGCAAACAAAGTGCAAGGAGTATTTATTGAGCTAGGCAAATCATTGATGTAAATTAGAAATAATATACATCCTAGAACGCTCCCTTGAGGTATGGATTTTGTAACATTCAATTTTGATGAAGATATATTAATAATTTTTCTCTTTTCAAAATTGTAATGTCGAACTTGTACGTATTGTTTCCTAACTGTAAGGTATGAAGCAAACCAATCATGAACAATTCTGCGAATTCCAATATCATACAGTTTGTAATATTAAAAAATGAGTTTTTGAAATGGTCAGGCCGAAATCAATTAAAAAAGAATATTCGGGCGCCTGGACTGTACCATCATTATTAGCCGGGAGAACATTGGAATATTAATCGCAAAGGGGGCTTAATGCAAATCCATATTCATTTTGGGTTGTCTATATATTGAAATTTTAAGTCCAAAATTACTTAAGTCCGAAAGGGTTATATCTAAATTTAGAAACTATTACTTATATACTGTGATGCTACTAGGAATTAAATGAAAATTTACCTTATTATTAGAATGTTACCGACCCCGCTGCATTTGATCTGGGTAGTATATGTCTGGTGGTGTAAATATGTAGGGGATGGCCGTTTATCCCGTGGGTTCACCTCCGCCTCATGGGAAACTTCATAATTTGAATAAGATATCCAAATAAAAATCCATATAAAAAAAAACGCTTTTCGCGTTTTTTCAATCAAATTAAGCTTGGAATGCGATAATCCGCCATTCCGAACAAAAGGTGCAAAATGTTACATCATTAAAAAATAATAAGATCAGTATGAATTACTTTGTAATTCATTAAGATTAACAGCGAGACATTTCGCTCTCTGTAAAATCGCGACGTGAAGTAAAATGACAGTTTTTTTCTTAAGTTTGTTTTCTCTTGCCGGTAGGCAAAGAGAACAACGTCCATTCAGCCTACTGCTTGATAAAGTTAGCAACATAATTATTCAAAAGTGCACAGATTACAGAAAATGGGCGCGAGATAAAAACGACCAGAGAGACAACCAAAAAAAATCTTCTATCTCGCTCTTCGAGCGAAGGAGATCCATGTGACGTTTTTAACACGTTACAAGTTTTTGTAAGAGTATTTTGTAATCAACCCGATCATAAGCCTTCCTCATGTCTAATAATAGTCCTATGGCGTATTGTTTTCTATCAATTATTTTATTTATTTCTTTAATATACTTAAAAACAGCATTGGTAGTCGAACGTTGTTTTCTAAATCCATTTTAACACTCACTAAATATTTTAAATTTTTCGCAATATTTGTAGAGGCGCTTTGACATCGCTGCCTCGAATACTTTTGAAAAGGTTGGAAGGAGTGCTATAGGTCTGTAGTTGTTTATGTCTCGTTTACATCCTTTTTTATACAGGGGTTTGATCACTGCAGTTTTTAATAAGTCCGGAAACTTTCCCTCCGAGAAAGACTGGTTTATAAGCACTGATAATGGTTCCGCTAATTCTAATGCACATTTTTTTATAAGTATTGGAGGAATGTCGTCATATCCAAAACTATACTTATTTTTTAGGATATGGATAATTTTAAAAATTTCTCTAGGATCAGTTTGCGACACAAAGAGAGAATTAACTTTATATGAACCGCTGGGTTTGCCCGCAGGAGGTTTTGTAGGTAACGCACATCCATCACTACCAATTGACACAAAGAAATTATTAAAAGCATTTGCAAGTTGTACCGGATCTTCCACTAAACTATTGTCAACTTTAAGCTTCAAATTAGAGTTACTGATAGGAGGCAGTTTATTTGTTTTTTCTTTTACTATTTGCCCCATTGTCTTGGTTTTGTTATCTGATTTTTTAATTTTTTTAATGTATTGTAATTCTTCGATTTTATTATAGTTCTTTTTAAAAGTTTTTCATATTTTTTATAGTATTTATGTAATATTTGATTTTTTGTTTTAGATATGAGCATTTTAAGTAATCGTTTATTATAACATGAAACTTTTATACCAGGAGTTAACCATTTTTTTTGCGTATTTTATGATTTATTCTTACTGTTTGTTTAGGAATACATTTGTTTATTAAATTTTGTATCGTATCAGCAAAGTTAATAAAGTTTAAGTTAACATCTTTGCTTTTCTCAATAATAGTGTCCCAATTTATACAACTCAGTTCTTGTTTAAAATATTGCATATTTTTATCATTAAACTTTCTTTTTACTAAGGACAAAGACTTCAGTTCTAAATCTTTCCTTTTTATTGGCAATGTTATTTTTAAAGCCTTATGATCAGAGATACCGTATTCTTTGACACAGACACTAACGGGTAAAATATTCTTTGAAAAATTGGTAAACATTAAGTCGATACAAGTGGAACTAGTACTGGCTACTCTAGTGGGTTCTTTTATGTGCTGGTAAAAATTAAAACTAATCATCAAATCTAAGAGTGCTGAAGAATAGACTGATTCCTCCATGAGATTAATATTAAAATCACCACAATTTATAATATTCATATGGTACCATATTTTATCAAGAATTGTAAAAGTTTTTTTAGTGCATCAAAATAAACAACACGATTTCTACTCTTTTTTTTTTTTTTTTTTTTTAGTTTATTTAGGAAAACAAACAACTGTACAATAAATTTTGATAACAAAGAAATTGATATAAACTTACTAATTGTACAACCAACACCGTTATCCTTAGTTTACTTATAAAAAAGAAAACATCTCAAAAATATAAAAATCACTAAAAAATATTTTTGCAAAAAGTGTAATTTATGTGTATATTATTCTTATTTATATTTCTTTATATAATACTTTCCTTCCCTTCAAACCAAGCATTCAAATGCATTTTACATTTAAATACTTAGCCCAAAAAAAAATAAAATAAAAAATAACAATAATTATTTTAGGGCACCAAACACAGCGATGAAACCATGAATTCACGAGACAAGTAAGTAGCTACCAGATAAAATTTCATATATTATATTTACATAGACTTCTAAGTTTTGTAATAACTTCCTTTTTGAATAAGCGCGGTGATAGGCAAATAATATCGAGATTGTACAGGCAGTCGTTGTATAGGGACGCTATTTTGTGAAGTGGCGCACGTTTTCCTGCATTAGTCCTTGTGTATTTGATATAAAAAAGTTTATGTGGGCGGGCATTGCGTATTCTTTCAGAACTGCTCGGAATTCGATAGTAGATGTTATTTGTTAACTCACAGCAGTCAAAAAAGTTATGGATAATTTTATACAGAGTCATTACACTCAACATTGTTCTACGAGATTGCAAACTTTGCAAAGAATACCTATTTAGTAACTTGCCATAAGAACATTTCGGCATACGACAATTGTAGTTAACTCTTTTTAAGAATTTTCTTTGAACTGATTCAATTAATTCGCTATATTTGTTATAATGTGGATTCCAAACAGTTGTTGCATATTCCAGTTGCGACCTCACTAGACTCTTCATTAAATGCATATATGTGGCGGGCTTTTTAAAATTACCACCTATGCGCATGATAAATCCGTACATTTGGTATGCCTTGCTTACAACAGTGGCCACATGATTATCAAGGTGAAGCTCAGAATCAAGCAATACACCAAGATCACGAATTACTTGGACTTTCTCTAAACTTTTTGTACCTAGAGAATAAGTGAAATGAGTTTTATTAACTTTTTTTGTGAATGTTATTGACTTGCATTTTTTTAAACTCAGATGCAACTTATTCAAAGTACAATAGTCAACGAGACGATTTAGATCTTCCTGAAGGTTACAGCAGTCATTCAAGTTGTGAATTTGTTTAAAGACTTTTAAATCGTCTGCGTACAAGAGGAAGTTACTATTCTTAAAGCACTGATCTATATCATTGATAAAGATGATAAAAAGCAATGGTCCTAAAATAGAACCTTGCGGTACCCCCGAAGTTGCCACGATACTGGCGGAAGTATAACCCCTAATAACCACCCTTTGAGTTCGGTTATCAACATATGATCGAAACCAACGCAAGAGGTCTCCTCTGATTCCGTTATAGGCAATCTTTCTAAGGAGAATTTCGTGGTCAACCTTGTCGAAGGCCTTGCAGAAGTCAGTGTAGATTGTGTCAACTTGAGTGCGCTGATCCATACTTTCAAAGAGGAAATTACTGAATAACAACAAATTAGACTCAGTCGATCTTTGTTTCACAAAACCATGCTGTTGCTTTAATATAATAGTATGTAACTGAGGATAAATTGCATTGTGGACAAGTCTTTCCAACACCTTCGACACGGTTGACAACAAAGAAATAGGACGATAATTACGAACATCATTTTTGGTTCCACATTTATAGATGGGGGTGATATTTGCACTCTTCCATATTTGAGGTACTGTTGCTTCTCTCATGCATTTATTGAAGAGTATCACTAGTGGGACAGATATACAATCAGCCGTCAATTTAATAAAAAGGGGTGGAATATTGTCAGGTCCATGCCCTTTGTTTACGTCGAGTGTCTTCAATATCTTGACTACATCATGTCGTGTAAAGCTAACATGAGTTATTATAAAGCCACTGTTGTTATGTTCACTCCGCATAGAGTTACTATCAAAGTTATGGATGGTACTTGACTCAAATACGGAACTAAAAAAATTACTGAACAGGTTACATATTTGCTCAGGATCATCAGACTTCAAGTCATTATAAGTCATTACATCAGGAATACCGCCAACGTCTCCGTTCTTGCGGACATATGACCAAAAAGCTTTTATGTCCTGACGTATACTTTTCTCTACCGTATTTATATAGTTATTAAAACATTCCTGAACATTGTTTTTAAATCGTCGACGGTATAAGGAAAAGATCTCATAGTCTGAAATATTACCAAATTTTTTCCATTTAACCCAGGCCTTACTCTTATTTTTAAAAATGTGTATTAGTGGGCGAGTAAACCATATTGGAAATTCCCTAGACTTCACAGGTCTTAGTGGAATGTGTTTAGCGATAATTTGATATATTTGCTCATAAAATAGGTTGACTGCTTCCTCAATAGGAGGTGCGTCTAGCAAATCATTCCAATTGATAGCACTGATATCATTATTAATAGCTTGGTAATTGCCTTCAAAGAACCTGTAACGCGGAGCTTTATTTTCTATTATAGGTGAGCAATTCAAATTGAGAGGTGCTGCTATCAGTAAGGGCGGGTGGTGACTATCAACGGGTAGTAATGGCGAAAGAGCCACTTCAATTTCGCACTCTAAAGAATTTGAAATAAATAAGTCTAGAATATTGCCACTACTGTTCTTGTTAACATTATATTGAAATGATCGTAGATATGAAATAAAGTTAATAATGTAATAGTCAACATCACTACTACTTTTAGTAATGACTGGAACTACAATTGAATTGCTATTAAGCTCCCATTGAAGTGAAGGTACATTAAAATCTCCAATAATAAATATGCTATCGATAACTTTCTGAGAGACAGCACATTCAACAGCTTTTAAAAAATGTTTATAAGTCTGTGCTGTCTGGCGTGGTGGTATATAAAGCGCACATATTGTATGAAACTTGTTATGCATATTTGATGGAAGACGCAGCAAAACATACTCAATATTAGGTGACAAAGTATGGGACACGTTCCGTTCGGCAGAGCCGACCGTATCACTCAAACAAAGTTCATAACGGCGTGCTGTGAGCCCGCGGCGCACAGCTATGAGTACGCCGCCACCGTCCTGTTTCCCGGTAGCCTTAAAGTTACGGTCACATCGAAATATTGTGTAGCGACTATCTATTATTGACACATCAAGTATTGAAGGTATAAGCCAAGTCTCAATCAAAACAATTATGTCGTAGGCCTCCGAAAGAACATTCATATAAAGTAAATTGAGTTTAGTACGTAGACCCCTGCAGTTCTGATAATAAATCGACAAATTATTAGTAGCCATTTTTTATAATATGATTATCTGCGAATGTATATATATGAAACGTATTCATGTAATATAATAATAAATTGTGTATGCGCGTATGCCCGACAATGCCACTCCACCAATCATAATACCTATTTCTTATCAATGTCATATAATTATTAAGCACTTTGTTAAATAAAAGCAATAATAATAACACATGTTTTTTGTTTGTACTATAGGAACAATAATAAAATTCAGTAGTCAGCGCAAGTAACCAAATCAGTTCAAAATAATGGAGTCCCCGAGATTTAATCACTTGCAATCGCCTAAACAACTCAACACAAAGATTTAAATCATTATTTGCCTCAACAAGGCTTCTTGTAATATTTAATAATATACTATGTAACTTGTAATAAGTAAATGTACTAGAATTATAACACTGACGCGAAGTACATAATGGACAAAATAAGTATTTGCTACTGTTTGCGTGAATCAAATTCAATCCAATATATAACAACATCAGCCACAAACTGTCATAAGTCAAATTTTGTATAATATTAAAAACAACTAACGTATTATTAGGAAGTGATAATACAGAATAAATGTATTTTACATTCGCATAATCGAATACGAAGTAGATGTAGGTACTTACTGCCATTAAATATCGACAAATAAATCGAAGTTTCACCACTGCTTCCGTGCACAAAATTTTCTGAATTAAACGAGAATATCTTACAAAATCATTTATGCAAATTTTCCCATAATTTTGCATTAATAACCCTATAATTGTAGAATACTTAGATATGCAGGTATGCCAACAATAATCACTGCGTCCTGAGCAGACGCAACGAAACCACAGAGCACCTCTGAACACAGAGGCAACACTAACTATAAAAAACTCAAGTAATCTTTTGAAGTCAATATAACAAAACACTGAAAGAAACAAACAACTGATTGCCAACTGAACTCTTAAATAATTATGCTGATTTCTTCTGAATTTTTTGCAAATCCTCTTGATGGCGTATAGCAAAAACTGATGAAGTGCTGTTTTCGCGAACAAAGATGATTCCGTTTTTAACCCAACAATACTTAAATCCGATATTTTTGGCGACCAATCTGGCCTCACGAAACAAGTGCTTATTTTTTAAAGTCAGATGCTCATTTAAAAATATTTTTTGTGGTGGCCCTGTTACATTCAGTTGATCTGTAGTGACTCCCTTGGCCAGCCTAGTTGCCGCTAACAGGTTGTCTCTCATGATTTTACTGGGGAGTTTAACTATCACATTCCTTGGCTGTTTATTGTTTTTGTCGGCGTGTGGAACCCGCCTTTGTGTGACGAAATTCGGAGGAGTTACCAGATCTTCACCAGACTGAATATCACTAACTTCGCCCACACTCATTGCCTGCTCGCAATCTTGTTGATTTATTGTACTGTTTAGATGACTCATTATTACGTTACACTCTGTTTGCAAACTACTCTGTGAACGTCGTACGAGGTGAGATGTAAAGGACTAGCGACCGCGGCTCCCGTGTGGACGTTTGCGCGGTGCGCGACAGAATGAATGAAATACTCTTATTTGGCAAATAAATCACAATTAAAATGATTTTAAATTTAGGAATCTCTATACCACATACTTCAAACATTAATTCTAATCAATAAATAAAACATAAATTCAATTTCCTCGGCTAATAACATGCAAACTCCCCCCCCCCCCCCCCTCCATAGTTCAGACGACAGTAACACGATGCCAATTTAAAGCCCTCCAACTTCAACAAGTCGATCTTAGTGTGGCTTACCCATGTTTCCGTTAAGCACAACACCTTTACAAATTTTTCTTCTTCTATAATTGCTTCTAAAAGTGATGTTTTATTATTTATGCTTCTTATATTCTGGCACACAATGTAGTTATTGACGAAAATTTGTTGCTAGTATGTCTTGTTTTTCTTCCTTTTGACATATTAGTATAGTTGGGCTTTGATCCTTATTTGGTTTGACGTGCATAACGTCATTTGTTTGGTTAAGTAAGTCCCTGTCATGGTAAGTGTCTTTGTATTCCTGACCATTTATTAATAATAAAATAACAAAAACGTTTTTTCGTGCGTTTGTCATAATTTCGACTAGTTTTTTCCTCTGTTGCAAGGTTTGTTTATCCAAAAATTCTGAGATTGCTAAACCTGTTCCTTTAAATAAATATTGCTTTTTTATAATGTCTCGGGTTAATCTTTTGCTCAAAAGCTCAATAATCACCGGTCTACGACTTCCACGTTTTCCGATCCTTTTAAGATCCTCGATGTAATCAGTCAGATCTATACCTGTTATGTCCCAAATAGCATATATGACTCGCTCCTGCAATAGATGTTGGTCTTCCCAGGGTTTCTCTATAAGGCCGTGTAATACGATATTTTTTTCTTCATTAATTTTGACCGAGATATTCCGTGTGCTGATGTTATGAGTAGTTTTTTGACTAAATTTTACTTGTATTTCATCCAACTCCATCTTTAATCTCTGCTTTTCCGCCACTAAATTAGATATTTTACTAGAAAGTTGCTCTTGTAATTGCTTATTATGTGTTTAAGGTCGAACTGTTTGAGGTCGAATTCTGTAATATACGCGTACTCCACTCTGAGCTCAACGCTGTCTACAACCATCTTGAGACAGCATAGCCAGCATTATTGTTTCTGACGGAGACACACACACTTCCGCCCGTTGATATTGACACAGGCTACCTAAATTATCCCGGCAACGTGCTTGCTTCAAAGCGAAAGCCGATATTTGCCTGTTTGTTCGGGCGGATGCTGTTGTTGCTATCGCCGCTGCGAGGAAACTCCCTTCTTCTCCACGTCTACACGAAATTCCTTCCGGCCATAAGTTAATGTTCACAAATATTGGAAGCTTGCTTCTTGAGACCATAATTTTACTAATATGTGTCATATAAACTTAGATTTTATCTTAGCTTTAAACTTAGCTCATAATTACTTAGATTTTATTTATTTATTTATATTTAACAAAGTTTCTACTAAAGTGTGTCTCCGACACACACACTTCCGCCCGTTGATATTGACACAGGCTACCTAAATTATCCCGGCAACGTGCTTGCTTCAAAGCGAAAGCCGATATTTGCCTGTTTGTTCGGGCGGATGCTGTTGTTGCTATCGCCGCTGCGAGGAAACTCCCTTCTTCTCCACGTCTACACGAAATTCCTTCCGGCCATAAGTTAATGTTCACAAATATTGGAAGCTTGCTTCTTGAGACCATAATTTTACTAATATGTGTCATATAAACTTAGATTTTATCTTAGCTTTAAACTTAGCTCATAATTACTTAGATTTTATTTATTTATTTATATTTAACAAAGTTTCTACAGCAGCGGTTTATTGTGGATTTAATACAATAAAATATAAAAACAATCATAAGGCCAATTACAGAAACTCTTTATATACACATTAGATACTAACGGCGTTATTATATATCAGTACCTACTCATTACATTTCATTTTTAAAATTTCTATAAAAATCATATAGTTTACTAACATAAATAATAAATTACATGAAGATTGGACAAAACATAACAAAATGACAAAAAAAGAAAAACAAACACTAAATACCCGTACAAAAGGGTTTTCAAGAATTTTTCATATTATGATAACTTTCTGAAGTGTGGATGTGTGTGCGTGTATGTATGTGTGTGTCCATGCAGCTGCAATGCTATGCCTCGTAACGAGATGGCGGGCGCCGCGCCCCGAGCACTACATCATTCAAGTACCTACTTCAGTGTTAGTGCTTGTAATTGCAGCTGAGAATAAAATCAAATAAATAAATTAAACTGAAATAAATGTCAAGGAAAATAATTTAAGACGTATTTGAAAATGCATCAGTGCAGGCATTTTTGATATTATTGAGAATACGAATTGATAATTATAAATAAAAATAAATTGTATGAATAATAATAATAAAATAAATAATAACAAAAAGCTTATTTGGGTCCTGCGGTTATAATTTCAAAGCAGCTGTGGACAAAGAGAACAGGTCGATATCTTTATCTTTTCTAAGCATACCAATATGTCTCTTGTGTTGTATGTACCTGAATATATCTTCAGCTGAAGTGTTTTTATCCACATTGTTTATGAATAACGTCACTTTTATATCTGCCGCCTTAAACTTAGTTTCCCGGTTCAATCAAGGCTTTACCAGTGCCTTAGCCAGAGTTGTATTTAAGATAGGGCCGCAGTAATTGCAGGTAGGGCATTGCCCTATAATCTGCCGCCTTACGGCCCAGGGCTTCACCCTTTATTGTCTCAAGCCTATTTCTGTGTCTTTTTCATATCTTTAATATGTTATTAATAGTACTTAATCTTTAAATACAAAATGGAATGTTGAAAACTTGTGCAGAATTTTGTAGGTCCGATTGACGTCCCTTTGCCTCGAGTCCTCAACACTTGTTTGACACTGGTTACCTGAAGTTTTTCGCAACACAACCAGGGTCGGTTTTAGAGGTGCAGTGGCCCTGAGGCATCGAAGGTGTGTGAGTCCACTCCTCCGATGCCGCGGGGCCTCGTATTTTAAAATCAGGTAACCAGTGTCACTTCTATTTGAACCCCCTACGTCCCTGCAATTAACGGCAAAATGCAAGAAAGATTATTTGGGAAAAGAAATTAAAGTTAGTGACCCAAAATATGGTTATTTTTTTACTCTATTGTGGAGGCCCCTTAGCTACAGCCCGCCCCGTAATCAGTTTTGCGTTTTCTTCCAAATTAATTAGCATAGCGATGTGAAGAGACTCTTCGCAACTGCTACTTTAAGTAAAGATAAATTAATTGTTCGTTTCTTTGTTTCCAGATATAAAAATGATCATATTGACTGGAAATAATTTATGTAAGCGTCAACAAGAGCTCAACGCCAAAGTCAACGAGGCAGTTGTTAGTAAGATTAATTTCGAAGATATCAAGGATGAACCAGAAGCCACGGATGTCGACAAACTCTTCAAAATCGATGTGGCTGCAAAATACAAAAACTCTCCGTATGTCATTGAAGTGTTAAAATGTGGAGATAGCCTCTATATTTCTCGAGTACTGAAAAAGTGCACTTGGCTTTTCAACAATGATTATTCTAATGTCATCAATACAGACTATCTGCATCACAATATTTTTCCGTTCATGTCAGTTAAAATGAAGAGAAAGCTTCTAACCGCCGTATCGACGAACCTGAAGAGCGAAGCGCGTGCCACTGATTTTTACAAGTATTGTCTACGTGTTAAGCTGGCCGAATTAGCTGACAAATTTTTACTGCAAACTTCCGAATCATTCAAATTAAATTACTTGGAAAACGACGTTCTTAACAACGATATTAAATATGTAAAATCCTTTATTGGACATTCTTTTGCATTACTTGATGCATATATCAGCAAACAATCTGAATACAGCACATTAGATATACGCGAATTTCGACATCTGTATTCAGTATCAGAAGAGAAATATTTGGATTTGTTGGAGAAACATGCCAAAATCGACCAATCTCGGCGTGGCAGTAATAATTTACTTGGATTGAGAATTTCTAAACATATTATGACAAAACATAAAAAACGTGTATTAAAAAATCCCTATCTATATCTTAACCTATTGAACAGTTGTAAAATTGTTCGCCATAGTAACAGTGAGGATGCCAAAGTTTATGTTGTCAGCCTCATGCCAAAGGAAGCGTCTAATTTCTGGGCAATAGATTTTTACACTAAATATAAATATATTATAAACGTAATACCAGAAAATGAACGATATACCTTTTTACAGAAAACTTTTACTAGTCACTATCCTTCTGAAGAGTTTGAGACAAATAAATTCTTCTATGGTCAAAATTACTATAATCTAATGTCACTAGACGAGCGAGAAAATTGGGCTTTACAACAAATAGAGATTGGAAAAGAGTTACATGGCCCCGGACGAGATTTCGTTTGGTACAAATTCGTTAATTTCGAAAAAGCATTTGTAGAATTGAAGAAGTATATCAAAACTGCTACCAATCCAAATAAAAGGAAGGAAATCATACAAACTTTAGTTGATTCCACCAAAAATCAACGCGAAATAGAACAAGTTCTGAAATATTATTTCGAAAGACACATAAATGAGTCAAGAAGTAGCAAAGAATTCTTTGTATCTACAGTTATGAGCCGCCATAAGGTCTTCAAGTTTGACAACGATTGCTGGGCTGCGTTTGATAAATTATTGCTTAGTTTAAATGTTTATAATACAAATCACGGTAACGTTAATTTCAAAATTGCGTCTATCCTCTATCATATATTAAATAAAAAACCATTACCAGATTCTTTAGAAGAATATCTTGATAGTAATCTAAGTACTTATTCTTTTAAATCGTATATAGACGAGTTTTCTGATGAAGAAAAACTGGCAGTTTATGAATACATCTCTAACTTTTATCTAAAGAAAATAGAAAGTTTTCTTCCCATTCCTAAAGATTCAAAAGAGCTGCAAGAGACAAAAGCAAGAGTGATACTGTATATACATTTTCTTTTAGAGTTCATGGCAATGTATAAAAAGGAGCAAAAAGATATACCAGACGTTGTGATGAAATTCATAAAACTAGATCACGATGCGTTTAAATATCACCAAATACTCGAAAAGGAAAAAATACAGGAACTTACAGAAAACAGACTATTAAAATATTTAAAAGAAGATGCGCAACGTTTAGTTGATAGTTTAAAAGACTTAGAGTCAGCCATAACATATAATAGGGATTTTAGAATAAATACTCTATTAAAAAAGTTGAAAATATACTTCGCCGATGATATTTCGAAAGAATACATAAAGTATTTCCATCAGATGTTAACCAATAAATTGACTCACGGCACTGCAGCTACTGCTGTGTTTGGAATTTTTCAACTTGGCGATGAAACTACAAAAATTTTATTAATGAACAAATACTCGCCCGCCTGCCCAAAACTAGACTATAACCAGTTAGATTTGGGCCTTTTAACTATTCAAGAAAAGATTTGTCGGTTTGCGTGTTATTCCCGTCCTCCTGTGCCTTTGTCAATAATGCTTAAGTATTTGGTCGGCGACTACGTACGATTCTGCTTACCCATGTTCAATATGTATCTGGCAAACCTACCGCAACCTTTATGTATAAACTTCGTACAATCTATTATAAATTCTCCAGTATCAATACAGAAACATGGCCTACGATTAGCTTTTCAATGCTTCGGCGCAGAAAATTTAAATAAACTCATTTTGGATTCTTGGAAGAAAACGACAAATGTTTCGCTACGGGGCGTTATGTACAAAACGTTCTTCAAAAAGGCTGTGGAAGAAGATTCCAGGGAATATTTTAATGTATTGAAGACACTTACAGCAGATCTAACCGCAGATGACGATGAAGAAATATTTAATGCGTTGACGCGTCCAAGATTGTCTAAAGAGTTTTTAGGCGAATTTGTCGAGGTTTTATGGGGAACTGTACAAAAATTTCCTAACAATGAAACTAATTTATTTCGCAAAAGAAATATTATTAGTTGTATCGATAACAACTTAAAGCTAATGAAGAAAGATATATTAAAAAGTATAATTAATGAACATATTATGAAAAATTTGTTCCAAGAGAGTATTGTAGAGATGAAAGTTACCATAGTCAATTTTATCGAAGCTAAGTGGGCTCTCGTAGCTCATTATATAGTGTACTTTACAAATTCTGAAGCGGACCGTAAGGAAAGCATAGATTTAGCGACGTTTATAGTCAAACATTGCTATGAAAATTGGAACAAGACTGTCGCAGATGTTTACATTTTCCGTCGTTTATGTTTTAATTTTATCAAGAAGTTGGATGGAAAGAGTCTATCCGATAGCATTAATAATTATGAAGATACTAATTGCGTGTTTGAAGAGATTTTAGCTCAACTGCAGTCCATTTTGCCGCTTGATGAAATTTATATTTGCGTATGGCAAATTCGACTTAAGATTCTTACTAGTAAATTAGCAGAATCTTGTAGACAGAAGCGAAAGTTTGAAGTGATGGGTGGACCTTCATTGATATACGGAAATGCGATAGGAAATTTGGTGAAGGAGTTTGTTGAAAAGAAGATTTATTTTTCATATTTTTTCAAGGATATCGTTGAAATAGTAGATGTTTATGCTCGTGTCTTAGTACACGGTAATATATTAGCTTTTGATGCGGGTGTTACATGTAACGATGTTTTGATGGATATTGCGCGTGGTCTATTACAATGTGATATGCCTGAAACTTGTGCGTTTGCACTGCAGTTACTGCCACAAGACCTAGATGATAACGAGTCAGATAATTACAAAGACGTTTTTGACAAGTTACGTGGAAAGGCTGATATGGAGGTGAAATGTTCTCTGTATGCGAAATATTACAGTGACTGCAAAAGGCGACGTTTCTTGTAACAAAGCTTTTTTCCACTTTTTTTAATAATTGTTAAAAATTCATTGAAAGTAAACATAACAGTATTGTAAAAGGTATAACCCAGTATTTGTATATTTAGTTATAATATCTTCGTTATAGTATAATTGTTTTCAACAACGTGTTTAAAGCGAAAGCGAAGTGCCTTGTGATCTAGAAATACTCTCACATTTTACCTGCATATATGAAGCTTTTTACTTAACATAGGTAGTGTTATGTTCCCAATGTGACCTACTCTTTTACCTGCGACCCAAGTGAGGTCTTGAAAAAATGTTATGTAAATGTAACATCAATTGAGGGGTATACAATCAAAGTTGGTACAGTCCACATTGCCAAAATGTTCAGTAATAAACGATAAAAACGATTATTTTAATAATTACAGGTAACTATTCTAATGTTAAACATTGATATGCAGAATATAATATATTATGGAAATACAAGTGTTCAACACGTTCAGTTCAATACTTTTGAGTAAAACCTTAAGTATAAGATGGACTTTCCTAGTTTTGTTACCAAGTTTTGGACTTTACTGAGTTTGTAACTGTAACACAACCAAAGAGCATTACAACATCAAAGGCGGCCATGACAGCTGTCAGTGAAATGTAGGCAATGCAGCCTTCCTATTGGTCGAAAAGGTCTTTACGCAAATTGAAACTCAACTTACTTGGGCTTAGCTTCATTTGTTTGTAAAGTAAATTTTCAATTTGAAATAACAGACGAGATTTCTAGAATTTGTATAAAATTATTCTACGGGATAAATATAAATACGGATATGAATGTGCTGTAATTACAATCTCACTTTAAAAATTTTGTGGACTTTACCAACTTTGATTGTATACCCCTGAATTATGATATTAAAATACGTGCCTTATGTTACCGTTATAGACAAGAATGGACTGAGCCTTCTGTGTCTAAATGTAAAGTAAAACTGAGGCCCAAGCATACATTTTTGACAGTTCCGTAACGTATCGCATCGTCAGTGTTACGCGTTACGAAAAGTGTGTTCGGGCGAGGCGAACTTGAGTGGAGGATATAAGCAAGAGAAAGCAATACACGCGCACATTTTCTTTCTCTTATAATTAGTAAATATGTATATGTACATACATGTATACATACAGATGGAGCTGAAGAAGTTTCACTTCAGTTGTGTGGTCATAGGCACACTCGTTTTATCCATACTTTGACGATACGATACGGAACGGAGTAAAAATCATCGTGCTATGGCCTCTGAACAGATAGCGTGAGATAGACGACACTATCGTTCGGTTAATAGTTCTATAATTAATTTGGCTTCACTATTGATTTTTCTTTTTCTTGAGAGAAACTTTATACTAATGTTGCTCAGTCCATCATCTTATGTGTGCTAGAAATACAGTGATTCTTTAACTACCCGCAAGGCGGTTCACATAGCGTACAAATTTGTAACTAAGTTCTGATAAAGTTCCCGTAACTTAAAAAGTGCATTTAAATGTTGTAAATTAAGGTGATACAATCGTAAATTTAGTATATAGTAAATTAACAAAGTACCTTTATTTACTCTTAAGATTGTTTATATAATTAACAAGTTCAACTTCTTAATTATAATGTTATTTTTTTTATTACTTTTATACTTTTGCAGTACTCAGACTATTCAGCGCCTATTGCTTGAAATTTATAAAGTTTTTAGTACCTTTAAATACTAATTTAAAAGGGATTTATTTTTCTGAGGTTGCTCCGCGAGAGTTATTGTTTGTATTTAACCGTTTATTTTTTTTATATAAACAAATATATTTCTTTATATAAACGTTGTTTTATTAAATAAATACCTTTCCAATATTAGTTACTCATATTAGCATAGGTAGTATGTTGACGTTGTGTAAAAATGAGACACAATTAAATTTGCGAACTTAATTTTTATTATCTACTAAAAATGCAACTTTCATCAAATACGTCGTATAAAAAATAATTACATAACAAATATTCAATATGCTACAATGCTAGAACGAAGCCTCCATACAAAAACCTTCTATTACGCAATTTATTGACTGTGTTTGCCATATCCGAACATTTTTTGCATTCAAATCTTTGCTTCAACTTTATATGGCTATTCGTATTTCTTATTTGGAAACTTGACAGCAGTATGTCATTAACATGCTCTTATAGAAATGAAAAGGAAAGTGTGGTGAAGTTTTCAAATAACAAAATACGGATAGCCAGGTGGTGCCGACACTTCACTTGGCTATTAAGTATTTGCTATTTGTTAAACTTGACAACGGACTGTCCTTAACACGCTTTATAAGGAGTGAAAAGGACAGACTGATGACAAGTTAACAAATAGCAAACACGAGTAGCCAAGTGATGTGCCGGAAAAAAGCTAAAGTGCCGACATTTTCTCGTGAGCTTAGTCGTAACAAAACAGATCTTTTTTACGCACTAATTAACTCATAAATATACTGGTCGTATCTAAATATAAATGATTAACGTCTGTTTTCAATAATCTATAAATTATTAAGAGATAAACCACATCATTTTGGTTATTTTGTTGTTTTTATATTAAAACTAGCACACAAAGAAACATAGTGTATTCACATCCTGTCGGGAATAATGTGTGACCAGCCACCGTAGCATGAGCACCGCGATATGATATAAAGCTCGTTTTTATCACGCTCAATTGTCAAATTACTATGGAGTTTCACAGTTAGACGCGATAAAAAATTTTATATAATGGAAATTGTGTCGCTGTAGCATGAGCACCATAATTTACATTATATCACGTATAGTAATTTAACAATTAAGCGTGATAAAATCGCGATATTTATAAAATCGCGGTGCTCATGCTACTGGGACAGAATGTCTTGCGTCGCCATTATCGATTTGCTATTTCATTTGCGCTATATAATATCTTGGGTGAGAGTTGTATTAAGCAGATATCACCAATAGTCAGTAGATAATTGGAATCGGCTATTCCAATTAACTTCTGGCTAACGTGAGTGTTTAACAACAATAAAGTGCTTAGTTGTTTACAGTTAAGTATATTTGACAATCCACACTCTTGAGACGTCATTTATTTTTTATAGTTTGATTAAAGATAATGTTGTCACGTTCTAATAGCAAAAAATAAGCTACTTCATTTTGACAATCATTATTATTTTACTAGTGTTTTGAGTGAAGAATTTTTCAATGATATAAAATAATTATTTTTGTTAATAATGCACCTTATGGCTCGGAACGAATGGCGAGGAACATGGCTAGCAAAAGCTTATGAAAATATTAAACAAATTATAACTGGAATGTTTTGAAACTTACAGCGTTCTCATAAGATTTTATTAGTTTTATTAGAGTGTAAAGAATACAAACACGATTAATTCATTATAAAGTCATTTCATCCCGATTAGTTTTAAATAATTACAATAAAGTTATATAACAAAAAAAGAAAAATTTAATAACACGAGTTTAAGCTATACTTTATAATTGACAAAATTTGTATTATGAAAATTTGATTTGAGCAGATGTAAACATAATTTTACATAATGATTCTTTGTCGGATCTAAAAGAAATCAGTGCCAGGGTTCATAATAAAGAACGAATAAAGATAATTGTACATGTCTCCGATAAAATATATTATTTCAAGTTTTGTGGAGAATAAATAACCTTTTTAGTATAGATAAATAGGGATTATAACTAACTTTTTTTCTTCGTCTATCAGGTAGATTATCAAAAAGTATTTGCCCTGGATTTTTTCTTTATTTATCATATAATCAAAACATTTCAGTGATTCAATCTAAAGAAAAGTTTACTAGAAAAAAAAATCTAGTAAACTTTTCTTTAGATTGAAACATCCAGCAGTTAAATGCTTAAAAAAAAAAAAAAAAAAATAAAATCATAACATCCAGCAGTTAAATTCTTTAGATTGAAACATCCAGCAGTTAAATGCTTAAAAAATAAATAAAATCATTTCAGTGATATTCTGATTTCTGAAAACTTTGACCCGCTTTATCTTTGTCAGTTTTTGGTTGATTGGCAAAAGAAAAAAATCCATTGTTTTTGATAACTCTAACTGATAGGATAATTAGAATTTCATTAATTACCTTGTCCCGTTATCATCCCTATTTATCGTTTGGAGCTGTGTATAATAATATTAATAAGTGATGTTTTTAGAAATTCATGTTAGCGCGTAAATTTATTTAACGATCTTAAATAATAAGAAATTAAGCTGCTTCTTATTAAATTAACGCGCATTCGTAAATATGTAAAGTAATTTAAACTGTTTTATTAAACAATTTTCTGAGCTATGAGTAGTTGCATATATATTTGAATTTATTATAGCTAATGTTTAAGTAAGTAAAAAGAACATAATAAAATCAAGAAGCATGAAGATCCATTAGATAAGAAATTTTTAGTCATATGCTATTTAAAATAATGCTGATATCTACATAATGCTTATAAATAATAATGATAAAAATCGTTGAAAATTCAATAGTAAAATCTTATCATATTTAATAATCGCTCTCCTTATTTTAGACATAGATTTATACGCCACAAGGTTTCTATTCAAATGGAAGACCGAAATATTGCCAGTACTAAACTTTTTGCATTACACTCATGCTTAATCATAAGTGCAAATTACGGTCGTAATTTGCAATCGTATGTCTATGAAGACATACGATCGAAAATAGTATGCACATTTCAAAGTCAGTTTTAAAGTCTGAACTTTAGGGCTCTCGCATTTGAGATCAATTTTAATAAATAACCATTTAATATTTTTGTAGGAGGCGCCTTATGACGTGTAAATATAATGCTGACTAAGCTAAAATGTGAAGTGAGTAAAAAGTTTTCAAGCAGTGAAGTTAGGAGTAGAACAGTTATTTACAGCTTATGACTCCTCGTCGTTTAAATTTGATATTGACAGATCCTATATTAGGTAGCAGTTAAATAATTATTGCCAAAGCGTAGAGAAACTTCGAAAGTGATGGATTACAGTACGAAATCTATTTAGTAAAACGCAAAATTAAAAATAAGGTGATATTAAGAAGTGCCATGATTGTATGGAACAATTGCCCGACTAGAAAAATAAAGTTACTCGCCATATTGAGGAATGCAACTAATCTACACAAAAAAAATGTAGTTTGTTTGTATTCGAATAGGACATGCTAGCAATGTTGGTGTCGATTAAGGCATGATTCCCACCTCTAAAATTAAATTTGACAACAGTCTATCCTTGTCATTCTTTATACAAAATGAAAAGGAGAGAATAATGCCTGATTCGGCACAAATATTATTTTATTAGGATGATTTAGAATTCGAAGTTAAGCAAAGGGACAGTGAACAATGAAAGAATTTATTGTCCTATAATTGCTTTCGACTTTAAGCTTAGAAATCAATTCGAACAACAAACAACGAAACACAACATCAACGTTTCAAAAAATCACATCGAAACATTAAAAAATTGCTCAAAAAGCCAAACCTTTTTCTATCTCTCTCTTTCAATGGGATTAAATATGATTTTTTATCCCTTTCCTTAATCTTATCACGTGTATAGCCATCTCTCTTTAAACGCAATTAACTATCTTGTACATTATTAAATACATATTTTTTTAATTCTATAATGCAAAGATATATTAGAATGCCATCTTTTGTGATGCCTTATTCATTGCCATAATACCACTTTTAATGCTTTATTTACGTTTGGTTTAAGGCATTCTTATGATATATGAGAACTTTTCTTTTTACGTATTTCAAATACGACATAGCAAAAGAGGCATCATTTTAAAGATAAAGTTTTTGTACCAATACTTTTCACTAATACAATTATTAATAACAGCGACAATTAAAATTACTGTAACATGTTTTCAATACAAACTATTCTATCACTTCTTTTAGTCTATGGCCTAACTAACATTTTCTCTATGGATCATAAGAAAAACAAAAACACAATTACCATCAATCAAATGGATTTTATGGAAACTAAATACTGCGTGTATATTTATTATTACTCTGTTCTAACAATAACTCTTAACTATGTTATTTAATACTTTTATTAAAATTTACAAGGGTTTACGTAATGGTTTTATAATTTAAGGTTCGAAAGCCAATCCAATACCCAACATTGGGGCTTACTTAATTTTTAATCGTATTTGAATTCCCTTTTATGTATTTTAAACACCATATCGATAGCAATAAGACACGGGTACTTTTTGGAAAACCCAGCTTTTCCAATATTTTTTTGTAATAATAATTTTGAAAGTAACATAAACTAAATAAGACAAAATTGTTATAATAAACTATTTTATCTATTCTGTATTCAATAGACAAATACAATGAAAAATGCCCTGATTTGGATATGATCTATGCATAACATTGTGTGTACCCATAGCACGAATAGTTGAATGAGGGCCATGGAGGTTAGAGAGACAAGGAGAACGATCGCTACGTGCTAAAGCATTAGACCGCCTGACCCTGAAAATTTGTAGAATTTATAGTTCATGTTTCAGCCACCAGCAGCGCTGCCGTCGATAAGTAGTATCTGTGAAGTTAGCTGTTTATGAGTACAAGTAGATGAAGTTAGTTTAATATTGTACAAATTTTCTTTGCGGCATTGGTCATTTAAAATTAGCCTGCTTTTATTGAGACAACTTAGCGAACGCAGCGCCTCACTTATTTTGTCCATATTTCTGGGACACTATTTTCTACAGCGATCGTTCTCCTTATCTCTAACCCCCATGATGTAGGCTATCGCGTATGAATTCGCCGCTAGAGGCCCTTGTGTAGCGCGAGGTCTCCAAAATGTCAAATGTTATTG